TGCAACAGGCATCTCTTAGAAGAGGCGACTTCGTGGTGACAAGCGGCCCTCTCTCTCTCTCTCCCTCTCTCTCTCTCGCTCTCTCCCTCTCTTCCCAACTATCTGGCCACAGCTCTCGCGCCGCTCGCCCTGCGCCGCGCCCATCCGGGTGGAAGCGGCGCCTCGGCTCGCTCCGAGGGGCAGAGGAAAAGGCGGAGCCCGCGGCGCGCAGGGCCGGCAGGTACTGACTGCGCTGCCCTGGGCGCAGCAGTGGGTGGCACGGGAGCTGGGCCAGTGAAACTGCAGCTCCATCGTCAAAGATGCATGCGTCGAGACCCCCCTCCGGCGCGTCTGGCACCTGTTCTGGCGTGTGTCGACCAAGCTAGAGTGTACCCTGAGATCGGCACGCGCACGTCGGCCTCGATCCCGCGGGGACTCTGCTGCGCCCCTTGTGCGCCTGCTGCCATCGCACAGGAGATCACATCTCCTCATTGCTGCCCTGGGCCTGCTGCTCCCTCCAGCGAATTAGTCGCAGATGAGGCCCCCTGGTGCCAGTGCCAATTCCGCTTGCAGCTGGAGGCCACCAGGGCCCTCACAGGCCGAAAGACGCCTGCAGCTTCGGGGAGGGACGGGTGGTTCGCGATGTGGCTGTCGAGGTCATCTATCGCTTCGGCTGGGAGGCCGGCTGTAGTAAGGATCAGCTGGAGCTCCGCATCCGATGCGCCCACCTGCAGTACCATCTCTCTGACAGCACGAGAAGAAGCTGATGCTGCGCCCAGGGTGAAGAAGAGAGCGGAAAGCTTGAGCGCATGCGTCAACTCCTGAAAGCTCCTTCAAGCGAGTGCGGCCAGGTGGACTCCACGGCCAGCGATCTCCCCGCCATGCGTGTCTCCAGCAACATCTCGAAGTGCCTTAGCGAGTGGGGATCTGAGCAACGTCCAGTACTTCTGTCCAGGTTGAGAGGATAGCATAGCTGAGAGGTGGTGCTTGCAAATGACAAGCGTGGCTTTCTTCTCCCACACGTCCCAGTGGTGGTCCCCTTTCCGCTGTAGTGGCCCTCCACTGCGCACAAGCTTTGGCCACCACTGCGTCAAAAACGCTCCCAAGATCCGTCGCAGAGGCACGTGGCATGGCACCCAGGGTGCCATCTCAGCTGGCCGTTGGATGCCCTGGCCGGGCGGCGGGCTCTGATATCCTGAGGATCGCTGCCAAAATTGACGGGCCCATGTTCCACCACCACTATCACAGGTAGGAGAGGGAGGAGGAGGAGGAGGAGGAGGAGGAGGAGGAGGAGGAGGAGGAGGAGGAGAAGGAGGAGGAGGAGGAGGAGGAGGAGGAGGAGGAGGAGGAGGAGGAGAAGGAGGAGGAGGAGGAGGAGGAGAAGGTCGTCCTCGTCCTACATACGGTAGTGGTGGTGGAGAATACGCCCATCAAAACATATCTCCTCGCCGCTGATGCCTTGCGCGAGCTCAGCTGGAAGCTCTGGTATTTTTTCTCTTCGAAGCCATTCTGCTTCGTTGACAGGCGCGACTATACTTGTCTCCTCATTGGAAAAATGGCGGAGCCATCTATCCGCTGCCTCCTCGCGGGTGGCCGCCACACCACCGCCCTCGAACTCGACGACGGGCAGGATGCGAATATTGGATGTGTTTTGCGATCCGATCCCCATGGTCCTGAGTTTCAGGAACGCAATGTTGCGCTGTCGCTTGTCCCAGGCATCCGGGACCTTGGTGGCGGGTTGCTTCTGATGTCGGGTCGCGTCGATAGCGGTCGTATGTCAGACGAGGATGGTGGTGCGGAAGAGGAAGTCCCTGTGCGCCGATATGCGCGCATTCGCACCATGCGTATGGTCCCAGCACCGTACAGTACACTCCCAGACATCGTCATCACAGAGACCCCTGTAGGGCTGGCCTGAAAGGAAATAGGAAACCGAGTGCAGTAACCTGACACCCTCCCCAGCGTGCAAGTAGCAGCGGTTTGCCCACGCTGTGTCCTTTCATTCCTCCCTGCTGCCGTATTGCAAATTCGCGGCACAAAAGCGTAGCCGTGGCCTTAGACAAGTGTCGCGTCTGAGCTGCGTGCCACTGCCAAGCAACAAAGGGTACCCCCAGCCTGGCGCGCTGAGAGTGCCGCCGACCTGACGGGTACGGCGTAGGTAGATGCAAAGATCGTTCTGGGGTGCGAGGGTGTCGTAGCTGATCGGCGACTGCCTGGGCTGTTTTCCCGTCGCGGTGGCCTCAATCGGAAACGCAATCTCCATGGACTCTCCGTGCTGCTCGCGTGCATGTGTGGTCCGTCCTGTGCTCCTCGAAAGATGGGGGTCGGAACTGCGCCAACAGGTATCGGAATAGCTGTGGCGTGCGGAGGAGGAAAAAGAGCAGAAGGGGTGATGGAGGAGGGAGGAGGGAGGGAGAAGGTATGAGGGAGGAGGAAGGAGAGAGGAGGAAAGAAGGAGGAGGAGGAGGAGGAGGAGGAGGAGGAGGGGGAGGAGGATGCTTGACCTCGTGCGGGCGTGGCGCCGCAAGCATACAGCAAGACGGCGGGAAAGGTAAGCATACTGATGCCACGCTGCACCAGGCTCGGAGACTATGAGATCCACTCCATGATCGAATCCCTGAGCTAGGAAATGCACTTTTACTGTCGTCGCAATGCACTCACGCCCTTTGGATTTTGTCAGGGCCCCTGGAGCTACCCATATGCCAGCGGAGCTGATGGGGTCCTCGCAGGAGGTGGAAAGGGGGCCCATTGGAGCGCGGCTCTGGGGAAACTTCTGAAGAGGGTGCTGGGAAAATGATCAGGCAGGGGGTTGTGATGGCCCAGTCGTAACATCTATGACTGTGCCGACCGCCGAAGCATCATCCACCATTGCGATGACGTGCTCAGCTTGGGCCCCGTCGTTGCGTCACAAGTTGTTCAAAATCCTGCCACCATCCGATCTCGGCTTAAGGTCGTCGGGAGTGCGGCGCATGAGCGACACAGATGCGTAGCGACAGAGCAGGTGCCCGAACGGCCAAAATCAACATCGTCGGTGCTGCATGTACCACTTGGCAGTGCGGAGGCGCAACTGTGCATCCGGGCCGACACTCCGATTGCATGTTGATCCAAAGCGTGCAGTTGTCAATTCCATTGCTGTGCGCCTGCGCATGCATCAAAAAGGACGGCCCCAACAAAGATGTACCCGTCCTTCGTAACCGTGGTTCGGCAGACCCCACCATGAAGTAAGGTTTTGTGCAACTTGACCAGCAAGCTGCATCATCCTCCCTGAAGCGTTGCAACCCTGGAACCTTTGGAGGTCCTTGGTCGCCTTCATTATGTGACCTGTGATCCAGCGTGAAGAGATCTGCAAGATCAAACCACCGCACAGCGTAAACCTTGCTGCCTTCCTTGGGCTTGTTGGGGGCAGGGATGACCTCGGCGAGCCCATTTGGCGGATACCAGAAGCCCTGAACCCAAAAAGGTTGTCATCTCTTGGGAGGTCGACTTTTGCTTCCGCTGGCTTCCGCCGAGCTTCCGCCGGCGCAGGCGGCCTCGTTTCTCTCCCGCCGACCGTCCACCGCCCTTCCGTCACATTCCGCCGAGGATGAGATGGCAATTCCTTCGTCCCTCGAAGGTAAGGCCCTTCTTGGAACGCCCCAATTCTTGGAGGCTGTGGCGTGAGCAGCACGCCTCCATGCTGAGGAGGGAGGGCGCGCTGGAGGACGGGCGGGGCGTACGGCACCCACAGCCACGGTAGGGCACGCTCATGCCGCTCCAGCGTCACAGGGCTGCGCCAGCTGGGCTCAGACAGCGCTGGCAAGATCGTCATCGCATATAGCCTGGCAAAGGTTTCCTCGCATTCATTCTATGGGTGCGCGATGTGTCCACGCACGTGCTCGTACGTGTGTACAGTAACCCACATGCGCAGTATCTCGGTGAGACTGTCGAATAAGCATTTCACGTGCTGCATGTACGGTGCACATAACAAACCGTGGACACACGGAATACATTCATATTGTCCGTGTACAAGCACGTGGGTGCTGCTCGAAATCGCGTCGGAGCCTGCAAAAGCCACGCAGTCGCCCAGATGGCCGCTTCAAGCTCTGCTCTGAGCGGGGCTCTCGGGTCGGATGATTACTATCCATGAACAGGTCCTGCCAATTAGACTACTAGAAAATTGTCGAGTGTAGAAACGGCCAGCACACAACGAGCCCATGTTGTTCGGCATGACCTACCATCGTGGATGGGTCCTCCCAGGGTAACGTTCGTGGAAATTCTAAGATGATCGATTTCAGCGTCTGGGGATAGGGGAACCAAGTCTGACAGCGCAGCAATCGTCGATATCGATGAGTGCCAGTACTGGGCCCAAGATAGCATGTCCGTAGAAACCTGTATGGGCCAGCGTGGTTCCAGTAACTTCTTGGTGGCTTGGGGGCGGGGTGGGAGAATGGGGAGTGCCCGGGGTAGGTGGAGCATGCTTTCCACTGACAGTGTATCCCAAATGCATCGTGGTGGCACCAGGCTCGTCCGATGGAATGGTAGGATTCTCCAGTGAAGGTGTGAGGGGAGGACAGACGTCGCAGGATGTGAGTGGTCGCAGGAGGGGGGAGGGGAGGGGAGGAGCGACAACCAGCAACTAATTCGTCACCCTGCTGGCTCTGGATACTCAACCAGGCGCGCCGCAAAGGCCGCGCGCCATGCCAACTCGCCCCTGCCAGCACCCGCCGGCGGCACCAGCACACGCAGACCCCCAGACCCCCGACGTCATGACCTTTTCATGACGCCGACCCCCCGAGGTCTCGACCTCTTCCCCAGGACCAGTTTTTCCTCCCGGGTCGTTTTCTGACGGCCCCGAGGCCCGGTAAGGGCCCCCTATGGGGACCGCGAATGGCGAAAAAAAAAACGTCGCGATTTGTTCATTGCTCGAGGGGGTCGGGGCCCTCAGCCCCCCCGCAGAGCTCCACGGGCGGCGAGACAAGGGGTCGCGGCCAACGCCCGCGCGCCCGAGGGCGCCCTGGCAGGCGGCCCCGGCCGGCCACCGGGTCCTCGTCCAGCGCGCGTGTGGCGCGCTCGTCCAGCCCGTGGTGGTCGGCCAGCTCCTGCACCTCGCGGGGGCACACCACGATGCGTAAACTCCCGCAGCGGCCCCACACCTCCGACATTCCTGTGCTCTTTCATTGAGCAGGGACTGACCGCCCCGGCATTCCTGTGGGCCTTACCACGGAATTCTTGTAGAACCCAACAATGATGTTCCGATAACGAAAACAATGCTCTCAGAACAGAAACCCGATGTCCTAAGACAAGACAGCCCCAGACAGAAATGTTCTAAGAACATTTCGTGGAAACCACAAACAAATTTTCTCTGAACGTTGTTTTCGGGAGCGGCCAAGAGGGGGGTGTCCCAGAGGGGGGGGGTGCAAATCATGACCGGCGGCATGTGCGCGGCCCAGCGGGGGGGCCAGGGACGTAATGAAAGAAGAAGAAGAAGAGACGCCATGAAATCTGGGGAAATATCATGGCCCACGCCATGATATCCCCCCCCCCTAGTCATCACCCCCCTCTTTTCCGCCCCCGATGTTTGGTGGGCCTGTGGGCACGCCAGGACGCTTCGCCACTGCATGATTTTTAGCCGAACGTAGTTCTTCGGTTTCGGCCTCCAGGGCCCGCCCCAGACAGAAATGCTCTGAGAACATTGCGTGGAAACCACCAAAAAATGTTCTCGGAACGTTGTTTGGTGGGCCTGTGGGCACGCCAGGACGCCTCGCCACTGCATGATTTTTAGCCGCATGCAGTTCTTCGGTGTCGGCCCCCAGGGCCCGCTCTCGGGCCCCCGGGGCCATCGGAAACGGTCTGGGGCGAGGAGGAGGAGGAGGAGGTGGAGGTGGAGGGGGAGGAGGAGGAGGAGGAGGAGGAGGAGGAGGAGGAGGATGAAGAGGAGGAGGAGGAGGAAAGGGAGGAGTAAAAGAGGAGGAGAGAGAAGAGTAGGTAGGATGAGGAAAAGATGAGGAGACGGAGGAGGAGAGGAGGGGAAGGGTAGGAGGAGGGAGGAGGGGGAGGAGGCGGGGAGGGAATGGGGAGGAGGGGGAGGAGGAGGGGGAGGAGGAGGAACAACTACCACCGCGGAGTCGGTCGTAGTACAGCGGGCACGCGCGGCAGGACATCCTGCTGCAACAACTCTTGGGGGCACATCCTGCCTCGCACGTGGCGGGCCCCAGGCAAACCCGATGCGCTTCTGCGGGCCCCCGGGGCGCTCCGGGGGGCAAGAAGCTTCCGGGGGGGCACCTGCCGGCAGGCCGGTCTCTTCTTCGACGTGCCCGCGGCACCCCAGCAGCTCACGTGTCCGACTGGAGCGCCTCCCTCCCCCCCCGCTCGCTCGCTCTCGGCCGACATGTCGTGCAGGCGCGGCCACCTGTCCTGCCCCCGCCCCACGGCTGAACCCGGTGGGGCGGGGGGGGAGGAAAAACACACACAGACACAATTAATCTTCGATTCCCCAGAAAAATATGGTAAACTATGGGAAGTGTGGGGGAAGACAGAAACCCAATAACATATGGGGAAATGTTAGGAATATGTTTATTTGTGTGTGTGTCTTTATTTGTGTGTCCTGGGAGAAGACTGTAAGAAGAAGACTGTAAATGGGGGCGCAGAGGCAAACCAAAAACGTGGGGCTCGACCCCCAGCAGGGGAGGAAAAGAGAGAGAAGGAGAGGAGGCACCACCGCCCCCCCTCTCCCCCGCCTCGACTGCTCTGATGGGGAGGCTCGGTGCCGGCCGCCCGCGGCCAGACCCTCCCCATGGCAGGCAGCGAGGTGCATCAGAAGTAGGTCGCCGCCTGTCTGACGACTTGAAGTACGCAGCATGATGATCATGATCGGCATCGTAAGCATCATCAGCACCACCACCATCATCACCACCCTCCTGCTCCTCCTCCTCCTCCTCCTCCTCCTCCTCCTCATCCTCATCCTCATCCTCATCCTCATCCTCATCCTCATCCTCCTACTCCACCTCCTCCTCCTCCTCCTCCTCCTCCTCCTCCTCCTCCTCCTCATGAGGCCCGCGTCTACGCGACCCAGGGCCTCAATTTCGCCGCCGCCACCTTCGAGGCCTGGGACATCGCTGGCGCCGTCGGGTTCGGCGAGACTGTGTGAGTACTCTGGAAAGAACGACGGACCTCAGCAGAAGGCCAGGTCACCCTCGTCAGAACACGACCGCCTGTGCATCTTCGGGGTAAATGCGAACAGCTGGGCGTCTTTTAAATCTGTGATCGACTGATGCTCGGATCAGCCAGGTGCGCTTTTTGGACATGACGCCTGTGGGATCGCACTGCAGACGCAGGTGATCTGCAGGCAGGAGACACGCCTGAAGACGAGTGCCAAGTTAGACCAGGCCGACAGACGGGGCCAGCACAGGCAGTGGGCTTTGGCTTTGGGAGCGGCCGGATCGACGGGGCATGGACCTGACATGAGTTCCGCTGGCGTGGTCTTGGGAGTCTCACAGTCGATTGCGTCTTCTCTTCGGCATGTTCGCCAGGGGACCTGAGTGACTTCCAGGCCAAGGTCCCGGTCCCTTTATTCAATGTCGGGCTCCCGTCAGGGCTCGTGGTCATCTCAGCTTGTTTCTACACCAGCCTCGGGCTAAAAAAGGCCCAATCTGGACATGCTTCGGTGTCTTGGGGCAATACGTCAACAGCATCCAGAGTCCGCGGCCAGCGGATGGCTTGATCGAGTTTGCGGTGCCATCTTTTCGTCAGGACAGCCCACCTGCAGGTCGGCGGTTGCCAGTCAAGCTGGCGATGTCGGAGGAGGAGATGAAGGGCCAAAGGACCAGGAAGGCAAGGAGACGGAGGAGAGGGATAGTGACTTCTCTGTTGGCGCGCGCGCGTGCGTGGGCACTGTGTCTCGGAGGACAAGTGTTTCTGCGAGGCCCCGATCTCCCCGCACTCGCCTGTGTGCTTGTTCCTCGAGGGCCTCTCCGAGTCTGAGCTAGTCACAAAGCAGATCCACTTCAAGCGGTTTCCCTTGGAGCCTGTCGTGGGACCCAGGAAGGAGCTGAAGGAGGAGGAGTGGTCTTGGGAGCTTGGGGACCTCAACGGCGCCTCACTGGGCTACGAGATCAAGGAGTGGTTCACGAGAGCCGAAAACTGGTTGGTGGTCTTTTTCGACATCGACGGGAACTCTCGGGACGTCTATTGCGGGAAGGCCCAGGGGCCCAAGACGGTCAAGGTCCCCCTGGAGACTGTGCTGGCGCGGGAGGCTCGACGCAAGCACTCAGAGCGGACCACAGCGTGGATGCTGTTCCGGGCGTTAGCCAGAGCTTCAGGTTCCAGTGGCCAGCTAGGTGCGGCAGGCAGAGCTCGACGTCAGCAGTGGCTTGACAGGCTCGAGGGTATGGTCCCCAGGCTGCTCTGCCGAGACGCCCAGCTGGACCAGCAGTTCGTCCTAGATCTCATCGGCTCCATCGAAGCCAGCGGCTAGAGGTGCACAGGGCATCTCCAGCAGCTTGATGGGTACCTCGAGGAGTTGAGGAGGACGGATATTAAGGAGGGGCTCGGTGGCAGAAGTGGGCGAAGGAATCGGTGGAGCGTGGGGGGAAGGCTGCGCATGCGTACTCTCGTCAGGCTTTCACCGATCGCAGTTGCCAGTTCACGATCCCTTCTGCAGATGTTAAATGACCTGCCAACGAGGATGAGGCCATGCAGGCCTTGGTGGTGGAAACACAGGAACGTGGAGCCTCACATGAGCACCCGTCTCGTCGGGACACCAGAGGGCACACGCTTCCTAGGATTGAGCTCGACAGACTCCTTCATGTGTGTTGAGGGTATGCCGAGGGGGCAGGGCTTGGGTGGGACTCGTTTCACCCGAGGCTCGTCTTGAAGCTGCCAGGGGCCTATCACATGAGTACCTTGGATATCTTGCATGGGTTCGAGGAGGACCCTGAAGTCCTGTCAGACCTGCTCACCAACATTATGTTCCTGGACACGCCAGATGGGGGGGGGTCAGGCCGATTGGCCTCTTGAGTTTCGGCATGCAAGTATGGTCGAAATGCCGCCGAGACCCCTGCAGGCGGTGGGAGGCAGGGCATCCGGCTTCCTTGTTCTGGGGCGCAGGCCCCAACGCGTCGTGCGAGCGAGCGGGCTGGGCGCACAATATGCTTGCGCACTTCGGCCTCAGCGCGGGCACGTCGACGGCGACAGCACTGCTCGATCTTAAGCAGTTTTACGAGCACCTCACACATGTCGACCTGTATCGAGTGGCGGTGGAGCACCGTTTCAACGTATGCCTGTTGCGAGGGTTGTGCACGATGTATGCTGCAGAGAGAGTGTTGCTTTATGGAGGGTGCGTCTCGGGGAAGGCCAAGGCGAACGGAGGAGTGCCAGCATGATGTTCAGCAGCGACAGCTCTTGCAAGGCTCCAGCTCTTGAGCCCTCTGTCTTTGGCCCAGATTGGGCGCCCGCAGCTGGCTGTCCGCAACGTGATTGACGACGTCGCGTTGCAGATCGTCGCCCCCGCCGACGTGGTCGTGGACCAGCTGGCAGGGGGCACGATGTCGTTGCTGGCCAGTTTCAAGCAGCTTGGGCTGCCAGTTTCAGCCAAGTCGAAGCACCTGTGCAGCAGCGCCGAGCTCGATGCGAAGCTGCAGCAGGCTTGGGACATTCCCCCAAATGCTCGCGTCACCTCATCGAGGAACCTGGGGACCGATGCTTCGCTCGGAGCCAGTCGGAGGGTCGGAGTTACCAGGGCGAGGTGGGAAGGAGCGCGGAGACGATCGAGCACAATTCAGCATCTTCGGCGAGCTGGGGCAAGCACCGTTTGGGTCCAGCGGGCGGGCCCAACGGCCTCGGCCTTGTGGGGGTCTAACATCATGGGGATCCCGCCGTCTCAGATGCAAGGGCTTCGTCTCGGTTAGGCAGTTTAGGTCGAATGCCGAGGGGTACTACGACCAGCCTTCGATTGCACAGCTTCAAGGAAGGTCCCAGAATGGACCCGCTGATCTTGAACATCGGCCAGGTCGTTTTCATGTGGGCTCAGGCCGTCTGGGAGTCATATCCCAAGCTAGGCTTGCTGCAGGTATGCTTGGAAGCGGCACTGAGCAGGATCTCGCGGTTG